AACAAGTATTACTAAGTCTTAATCGTCGTTTTATAATTTTCGACACTATAATTAAAATATTTCAGATTTATCAATAATCCCCAAAAAATACTGACTTATTGTTGATAAGAAACAACCAGGTTAGATCATATCAAAGGTAGGATCCTTTTGGCATATAAAGATATAAGGTTTGGAAAATCCACTTTAAACACCTCACATATCTGGCATAGACATCATTCCTATAAATAGATCGATCGGTATAACGACTGGTATTACTGATAAATCTTATTTAAAAGTTTATAACAACGACTACGAATATAAATACAAGTTACACTTAAAGCATAGTAAGTGCAGCTTAACTTACCGGGTTTTCTGACAGAAGTTCAGAAAGTTCGTGGTCAGAACTTCGACTTTGAAAACTTCTTTTCGTCGACTCTCTGACGACTCAGAGCTTCGCTATCACACCCTAAAAAGAGTTTGAAGGATTTGATCGATGAAAGAAGGAGAATTTGTCATCTATTTATAGGGGTCTAATCAGGGGGTGTGTCGCGCCTTTTAGAGGGTGCGTCGTGTCTTAAGGGTAGGCCCAAAATTTGTCTGTATCTTCCGCGTATGAGCTCCGTTTTTTACGTTCTTTATATCCATGCGTAGGTATTTCCGAGTACTACAACTTTCATTTAGACTCCATCGGCTAATTCTCATTTTATCTCAAATTTGCATCGAATTTGTCGCCTCTTAAGAGTAGCGACCAATATTCGTCCATATCTTTCGCATACAAGCTCCGTTCTCGATGTTCTTTATATCGATGAATTCGTATTTCCATAGACATCAACTTTCATTTAGATAGTTTTGTCTAACGAGCAACCGATCTTTATTTCGTATTCTGTGACGCATACCACTATACTGTGTCGTTACGAAAAATTATAACTTCCTCATACGGAGTCAGATTTTGGTGTTCTTTGTATGTACGGGCTCGTGGCCATGATCTCTATGACTTTCGTTTAGATTATTTATCCTAAATAATCTTTTATTTTTAATGTTTATTTTAGCTCCGTTTATTAAGTTTTAACTTAAGTTTTTACACAAATGTTCTATACAAGTTATAAGTATATAAACACATAAATATTATAATAATTCTTTTTCATTTATTCATAAGAAATTACAATCGTCGACCGACATAAATACAGATTTTATAATTAATGTCTAGCGCGAAACGCGGACATTACATAAGAAGTTGAGATTTAGCAATTATCTCCAGATCATCAATCTAACTAGAAAATTGCGAATAATCCTCATTCTCTTTGGCTTTTACCTATGATCTCCACATTTTTATAACCTATTTGAGCCTTTGTAGTTTTTGCAAGACAATAAGGTCAGATGTGCTACAGACGACAACTTCGACCCAAGAGATAGATACCATAAGTCGTAGATCAACAGATGTGATTTAAAAAGAAAAATGTTATTCCGTAGGGAAAATGTGATTGTAGCGCAATCAACTATTGTAATTTACCCGATTTTGTCACTAAATTATTTTTTTTGCGCAATATATCACTAAACTTATAAGTTACCTATCAATGAGCCTATGTGGATGTGTAACGTGTAGAAGAAGCTTACGTGGTCGTGGGCCACATCATCAACATCCACCATTTTTATAGAAAAATGTCACTGTAGCACAATCAACTATTAAAATTTACCCGATTTGGTCACTAAACTATTTTTTTGCAAAATAGGTCATTAAATTTACAAGTTAGTTGTCAATTAAGTCATTTTTGTTAATTTTTAACGGATCCCCGGTTATCGAGCCTACATGGTGGCTTACTTGTAACGAACGCTTATTTGGATATGTACCACCACCCCGATTGCACCTACAATCATGTCAATCCAATGGGTTTCTTTAATCCTAAAAAAGTTGTAATAAAAAGAAAAACTCAACATTGTTACACTACCATCACTAGTCATCTTATTTTCCACACACCACCACATGGACTCTTGACTGTAAATCCCCACCCCCCCTGTTGGAATCCTAAGTCGATGAGGACTTGGAGACCAAGCAATCTAATTTATGGAAAGTTTTGTTTATGGCAAGTTGGTCATAAGTTTCCTAGTCTAATACAAGTTAGTTTGTTAGGCTATATATACATGTTCATAATCAAGTTTATGATTATGAGAACAAATTGTAAAACATCGGTTTTGAGTTAGTTTCCGATTAATCAAAGAGTTATTTTGGTTATTTTGTTTTGTATTCTTGTTTTCTAAACTTTACCCCCCACCCCCAATCCATCTCTTACTCTCTCTAATCTTTCTCCTCTGGCGATTGGATTTCTACCGCCTTCACCTTCATTGGAAAAAATCATAAAACACCACAACTGTTGAAAATCAAAATCTTATCGCTATCTCCCCCATCTATATTCAGTGCCTACCTAAATATCACTAACAGAACCCTGATCCATAGAATTTCTCTTGGTGACCTACATATTGGCAGCAACTCATCAAAATTCAACCTAGGGGCATGGATCTCTACCACTGAAATAGAAAAAGGAAACGAGATTAAAGGGTTGGGTGTTGTGAAGACATCACGGTGGTGTTGATGATGTCAATGAGATTTAGATTGTCTTCCCACTAACTTCACGGTATAGATTTTGATTTTCTGAAGGTTGTGGTGGTTTATGATTTTTCCGATGAAGGCGGAGAAGGTAGAAATCTAATCACCACATGAGAAAGATTAGAGAGGATGAGAGAGGGAGAGGGGAAGAATTCACAAATCAAGAGTGCATGCGGTGGTGCTTGACAAAGAAGATGACTAAAGTTGGTAATCAAATAATATTGAGATGTGCTTTTTCTTACAAGTTTTTCAGGTTTGAAGAAATTTATATTGGATTGACGGGGTTGTAGGTATAGCTGGGATGGTGGTACATAGCCAAATAAGCATCCCATACAAGTCAGGCAGCCACGTAGGTTCGGTAACCAGGTATCCGTTAAAAATTAATGAAAGTGACTTAATTGACAGGTAACTTGTAAATTTAATGACCTAATGCGCAAAAAAATAGTTTAGTGACCAAATCGTGTAAATTTCAATAGTTTATCGTGCTATATTGATATTTTCCCTATAAAAAGGTGGATGGCCGATGATGTGACCGACTGACATAAGCTTTATCAACACGTCACACTTCCATATAAGCTCATTAATTGGCTAACCGTTTAAAATTAACGAAAATGACTTATTTGATAGACAACTTGTAAGTTTAGTGACCTATAACACAAAAAATAGTTTAGTTACCAATTCGGATAAATAAAAATAGTTGATTGTGCTATAGTGACATTTTCTATATTACGTATGATCAAATCATTTGAAGATTTGGATTGGACGAGACTTTACGCTTTTATCAAACTTTACAAATATATGGTAAACATTGTTATATATTTCAAAAGAAAAATGTTTATTATTCTTTTGTTCATTCATTATATCAACAATATCACATGTTCCAATTAGAGGTAAAAGAATATTAATACGTTGTTATTAAAGGTTCAAAGTATCACATGTTCCAATTAGAGGCAATTATATATATATATATAGATATATATAATATAATATATATATATATATATATATATATATATATATAAAATACATCACATATATAATAATAAAATATACTTATTTTATACAACTATGGTAACTCTTTTTAGATTAAAACTTAAAAGCACGTGGCACGTAATTATAGGGGTTTTGTTTTGGTATAGTGATACTAACACTTTGGCTCCCTAGCTAAGTTGCACATAAATTTTATATATATATATATATATATATATATATATATATATATATATATATATATATATATATATAAAAAAGGTTGTAGAACTCGCTACTCGGTACCTGCTCGGCCTAGTGGGGAGTAGCGAGTACTCGGGGATTACTCGGATTCGGTAATTCATGTGGAAATATTTTTAGAAAAAATTATATATGTCAAAATCATAAGTTAAAATCATAATCTGATTGAAATATATAACAAAATTAGATTCATGTGAATACATAAAAACTGAAATACACACAAAATCTCTCACTTCATAAATAATTACTGAAAATTTAAGATATATATGTAGTAATAATCACATGTGTGTGTTAAATAAGAAATCATTAAGTGTATTATACATATTAATCTTGAAATTCCTGATTTTTTTCTCTTTTTATGACAATTTTAACCCTTTGACCGAGTTTGACTGATTTTGACAGAGTTGGCCGAGTTTGACCGAGTAAGACCGAGTAATACCGAGTTAGAGAGATGTTGACCGATTTTTGACCGAGTTTGACTTAATCCGAGTTTTTTTTGCCGAGTTCACATTACTCGCCTCAGTGGAGGGCCGATTCCGAGTAATCGGCCGAGTAGGCCGAGTTTTGCAACACTATATATATATATATATATATATATATATATATATATATATTGGAATAAAGTGTGACCCAAATCACCCAATTAAGCACTGAATGAATCTAAGTCTGCTTTAGATCCTAACTGCTTTGCAAATGGAACACTCTAAACGATTTTCTATCATGACTCATTGGTTAATTAGTTTTCTTTGTTGTTTATATTACAAATTATTTTTCAACTTGGCAAGAGGTAAGTTATAGAAATGATGATTGTACGTGAAGGACGATAGTTGTCCTGTATTATTTTGTATATTTAGATACTAAAAACAACATAACTTGCTATATTATTATGGTATACTTAGATAATAAAAACAACATAACTTATTTTATTAAAGTGAAAGAAAGACTTGAACTCACAAACTTTAAGGTATAATGATGTATCATCTAAATGATGAGTCCAAATAAATCTCCATCAAACGGCTATGTTATCTTCCATGAGGAAATAGCATAGATCACCCTCCCTTTCCACCCTTGCACCATCCAATGTCCATCATCATCCACCATGAAATCCTTATGAAACCCAATTTTCACCTTCGCCCTTACCTCCTTCATTATGTCTCGGTTCATCTGCATCGCCATAAACCCTGCCCTCTCATTTCCTAGTTTGCCACTGCTTATACGTCTCCGGCCTCTCAATCCTCTTTGTTCCTTCACATGCTATCACATTAATCAGTTCCCGACCAATCACCTCCTTCTCAAACAACAACCTCTCCTCGTCTTCACGATGTAATGTCGCCTCAAACATATCGAATAACACCGAGAAGTTGAAGTAAGCCTCACAGAATCTTGTCAAGAAGAATGGGGTGTTGTAGTTCCCGTTCACAACCCCGTGGAGGAACATATGTGGCTTGATAGTCCTTATCAACTTCAAGACCGACTCCCGTGGACACTCCATTGCTCCAAGTACGGTCACATCGGGTACATTCCTTAGTCGATACAAGCAATTAACCACGAGAACCTCGTCCTTGTTGATTTTGAGATCTTCTATTGTAACACTATCCCATTGTTTTGCTATCGCGTGATACTCAAATGGGACGTTGAATCTTTTGCAGTATTCAGCTAGGCGATTTCCTGTCTCTTCAACTCTCTCAGCTGGGCGAAAGCCGGATTGAGGAAAGTCAATCCCTGTAATCCTAATACTTGGGGGCCCACCGGGCCTTGCTGAAAGGCCCTGAATGAGACAGGGCCATTGGAATCCATATAGGATCCCAAAATCAATGATGTGAAGCTTTGGCGAACCTCTAGCGAGGTTTCCAATCATTTTGTTGGCATAGATATTAGACATTTTCTTGAAAGGACAAGCCGAGACATAAACTTGATAAGCTTTAACAATATCAGAAGCTGTGATCTTACTTGAGGCTAAATTTGCATAGAGATCCATTCCGGTGCCTGAAAAACGGGCCTCGAGGGCGTCAGCAAAGTAATGTGCCATTCTCTCCTCAGAATTTCCACGAGGAGAGGAGTGATTACGTATCTTCTTGAGAAATGTTTCTACCCTTGTTGTGTTGTTTGATGAAACGGCTTGTGCACATTCAGTGAGTAGACTCTTCAAGTCAACGATCTCTTTGGTGGGATCAGTTCTCTTTCTTCTTTGTTTTCCTTTAATTGATGGATTCGCAGGCTTGTCAAAAGGACAACAAGCGAGCTCATCATGCAATCCAACTTCTTTTGAACCAGGACAAAGTAGGAGCTTGTCGATCTTGGCTGTGATTTCGGTCTCCATTAGCTCTTCCTCACGACGACCACCCGCTAAGTGCTTGTTACTCCTGTGTTTCTCAAAACCACCACATTCCGATGGTTGCCGGTTCTTCTTTCCCCTCAGAGAAACACCTCCGAGACATTGAATCGAAGACAAATTGAGATCCAATGCTTCGATGCTGGAAGGAAAAGTAGGCTGTTTCTGGGCAAGAACATCATAGAACGATTTCTCGGTGGCTTGGAGAGCAGAACAATCATGGTACATGGATGATTTGTTGATCAGCTCATCTTCTTCCCCCATGAGCATATCGTTAATGTAATCCAGAACAGCCTCAAAGTAGTCGTGTGGAACCGTCGGGTCATTGCACTCAGTGCAGCCACAAGAACACCACCCTTTCTTCTCCGGCGGCGGGGTTTGGTGGTGCACAGTTTGACTGTACACCAGCTGAGGGGTTTCGAGTTGTTGGGCTCTAGGAGAGACAGTTTTCCTCAACATGTTATCAACTGGGGTTGGGCATTGAAGCTGGAGGAGGGTGTTCATCGCTGCTGGCTAATGGTGATATGATATATGGTGGTGGATGGCGGTGGTGATGGTGATGGACTAAAGATGCAGTCAGTTTATATAGAATCGAAAAACCGACATAATGCAGAAGAATGGAAAACAATGTGGATTGAATAATTTGAATCAAGAGAGAGATTGTGGATCATGTTACCTACCAAACCGGCAGAGGGATGACGCATTTGGGAGAAACAAGGAAGACGAATAGATCAATGGCGGTAGTGGACTGGTGGGGACCGTCATATATTAGATGCATGCGAACTAGCTCCGTCACAATCGTGGGTGACGCAACGGTTAATAACCACCGTTCATCACCGGCAAGTGAAGGGCGGCAGTCTGCGTTGGTTAGGTTATTTTTAGGAGGATCCTAGGATGGCTTTGACTTTCTGATGATATTCAATACAATCGTTGCAGAATAAAAAAATAATCCGTTAATTTTTTATAAGGCGTGTCAAGTTTAAAGTGATTCCTTTTCTGACATGATGCCGTTTTCAACAAAGGTGCATTTATTTTAGCAGAATCTTATTTGATCCCATCATTGGAGGAGGTTTATTTACCTATATCCCAAAAACAATCAAATTAATAAATTAATCCTATGTAGATAAAATGATAAAATTAATCAAAAAGATTAAACTTTTCTCCGAATACCATAACTTTCGCAGGTCAACCTCGTTTTTGCATTTCCCATATTACAAAAATGTGTGGTCCTGCAAAATTATAGGTATGAAAAAACAAATCTTCATTTCAAATATATATATATATATATATATATATATATATATATATATATATATATATATATATATATATATACACACACAAAAATGAGAACATTTCTTAAATCGACTACATTTGAGAACAAAATTTTAGCTTATTTATTCATAAAACATTGTGAGTCATACAAATACGACCCATTAAGTTTAAAAGTTTATCTCTTACTTTATTAATTAGACAGGCCCCAAGGAAACGACGTGAAACCTGGAATCAACGGCCATGCACTTCGCCTCTACTCCTCCCACCGCTGGAACCATGTTCGTCCGTCCCTTCTCTCCAGCAAAAAGTCGATCTGATTCGAGTGGCAATCACATGCTTTGGATTTTAGGGTTAGGGTTTATCGATTAGGTGTACCAAATAACCGACCAACTGAACCTCGACTTCTTCATTTTAAAGGCGTAGATGGCAAAGATCTACGAAACGACGGCGTTGGACATAGCAAATCAACAACCAGGGAGGAAGAGGAATAGTGAAGCAGAAGCCAGTGTTCATGAAAAACTTATACACAAGAGATTTGAAGCATAAATATTTGCAAGTTTTGATACCCGCCATCAAATTGGATGTCGAGTTCGTCGAGATAAAATTTGAGGTTAGTTTCAGTTGTTGTTTTTAAAAGCACATTCTAGTTTGATTTGTACTCTGATCAGGAAAACGATGGATTTGATCGAATTATGAGTCAGATTCATGATATTGTGAAATCTAGCATCGTTCCATTTATAATTATGAATCGTTCCTTCTTTATGTTAATTGTTTGTGTCAATGATAAATGAAAATAGTAAGCTCTAGGGGCTGGATTAGATTCTATTAGAGATTTGATGATCACTATAGGATTTCGTGCACACAAAGTGTTTGTCATATTGTCTGAAAGAACCTAATAAGTGTAAAAGTGGCATTTTATGTGAAAATCCTTAACTTTGAACCCTCATTAAGCCAAGCATTAAGGCCTTTAGGTTAAACTGAATTTCACATCTCAATATCCTAATAAGTAACCAACAATCATGTTAAAAGTGATAAACTTAAGGCTTAACCATTAAGTCTTTAATAGAACACCAAAAATGATTTAAAAGCTATTATGATCAATATTCCCAAATTTTTCCTCCAACTTCTAAAATCCGTGCAAGTCAATAAGAACACCTAAAAATCATGAGACTTAGTTTTCTGGAAATATTAGTGTGTCTAGTTTCTTATAACTTTGAATCACATTTCGAAATTCCAAATCCTTGAGGGGTAAAATTGAAAATCTTCTCAGGTTGGTCCATGTTGTCACAAATTTAATGCATTGTCTTCAAAAAATCGTAATAAATTCATCAGAATTTCAAATGCCAAAATTCCAAAGCCTATAGTTAGATATTGATGTATAGTTTTCCACATATAAAGGGTATGATGTAATTCATAGTAGATTGGTACAGTTTATTCCAAGAGTGTTGAGTGGTCCAGAAAGTGATCGCTTAAAGTTACTAACTTGTAAATATAATAAAATCAACCAAACATCATCAGAACAAGATCTTTATATTCCAGAAAAGATAAATGAGGGTGGGGACTTTACCAATGTTATTTTATCAAAATTTAAGAATGGGTTGAAAGGTAAGAAAACATATCCCAAACGGAGCACTACAATCAAAGAGAAAATAAGGAAATATGTACATAAGTTTTATAAGAGTAATACAACAAAGCACAAGCTAAATAATGTTATATTGATGTGTTGGTTCTCAGAAAGGAAATGATCCATCTATCTCATGATGGCTAATTTTCAAGTTCAAGGAGGTGAGTTACACTAACTCTCCTATTATGTAGGCATTACTTGTTTTATGTTATTGTTCATGGATACCTTAATCCGGTAGAGTGAACAAGGAAAAGCATAATGTAGTTTGTGTTCTCTAGTGAGACAAGCAAACAAGATACGTTTCCGCGTTCTCGATTCGTTAGTTGTTCTCGTGTATTAAATCACACGTGATTATATGATCTAATCACATATGACTTATATACACAAGATTCATTTTTTTGTTTTCGATTCAATAGTTTTTCTTTGTCCATATTAATTGTAAAGTATGTGATTAAATACATAAAATGGAATATGATTAAATACGTGATAACGACTATTGAATTGAGAATGTGAATTTGAGTCTTATTCACATAAATCATATGTGACTAGATACATATAATCACATGTGATTAAATAAACGAGAACAACTATTAAATCGAGAACACGAATATGAATATTGTCCACATAAATCATATGTGATTAGATACATATAATCACATGTGATTATATGTATCTAATCACATATGATTTATGTGGCTAAGATTCATTTTTGCGTTCTCGATTAAATAATTATTTTTTTCCACTTTAATCATATGTGATTAAATACATTTAATCATATATAATTATACGTTTCTAATCACATATGATTTTATTTGGAAAAAACAAATCTTGTCTATATAAATCATATATGATTAGATACATATAATCACATGTGATTATATACACAATAACAAATATTGAATCAAGAACACGAAAACAAATCTTTATCCACATTAGTCATATGTGATTAAATACATATAATCACATGTGAGTATATGTATTAACAACATATGATTTATGAGGAAAATACTCATTTTCGCTTTCTCGATTCAATGGTTGTACTCATTATTTAATCACATATGATTAGATTTATGTATCTAATCACATATGATTTATACAGACAATATTCATTTTACATTTTCGATTTTAATATTTGTTCTCGTGTATTTAATCATATATGATTATATGTATCAAACCACATATGATTTATGAGCGCAAGATTTGTTTTTGCGTTCTTGATTCAAAAGTTGTTCTTTGTCCATAGTAATCATATGTGATTAAATACATATAATCACATGTGATTAAATACATGAGAAAATTATTAAATCGAAAATTCGAAAATGAATCTTGTCTATTTAAATAATATTTTTATTAGATACATATAATCACATATGATTATGCATATAATCACATGTGACTATTCATATAATCACATGTGATTATATACATCTAATCACATGTGATTTATATGGACAAAAAAGAATAGTGTCTATATAAATCATATGTGATTGGATACATATAATCATATGTGATTATATTCAAGAGAACAACCATTAAATCAAAAATGTGAAAACAAATCTTCGTTCATATTAATCATAACTTATTAAATAAATATAATCATATATGATTAATAACATGAGAAAAATTATTAAATGGAAAACTTGAAAACCAATCTTGTTTATATAAATCATATGTGATTAGATACATATAATCACATATGATTAAATGTATTTAATCACATGTTATTTCCGTGATTAAATACATATAATCACACACGATTTATACCATCATATGCATTTAATCATATACGGTGTTGGTGGTTGTAGGTA